ATACTATTATTTTACATTAACAATCTCCTATAAATTTTCACATTTAAGGTGGCATTGTTTACTTATAATACTACCATTTATTCTTGTCATGATAAGAAGCCAATAATCTCTTATTAAAAGCTTGAAAAGGATTTCACTTCTGCTACAGCATGGGGCTCTTAGTGACAGGTGAACTTTAACTCAGATTAAATTCAAATTTTTTTCAAAGTTATTGCTACAATCTAGATCTTCCTATGTTTATGAACGGTAATGTACTCAATGAGTAATCTACCTTTTATCTTCTAGAAATAACTTCTTGGAAACCATATATCAAATCTATTGGAAAATTTACATCTACTAAGGTTGCATTTCTTTATGGTGCTCGCCATTCTCTTACTCCGGATTCTATATCTCTATAAATTTTAAATCCGTCCTTGTACGGAATATTGTTTCCATATCCAGAGCGAATCTTCGAATGATGCCATTTCTATTTTAGACAAGGTGTAAAAACCCATTGTAAACATTATTGGACCTGTACTTGCAGCCAACCTCTAACCACTGTCACATCGTCGTAAAGTTGCTTCTCATTCTCTTTTCTATAAATACTACAATGTGCAATGCTGTAAAGAGCTAGCGTCTCTTGTGCCATCTACTAAAATTCAATCTCGTGTTACTCTTCATTCAATTAAGTCTCATCCTTCTACTACGACAGTTTCTAAGTGCTCCAAAAATTCTTACTAGTCTTGCTTTTTCTTTGAACATCATTTCTTACGAATTTGCTCTCTTATTCTTGTTTTCCTGGTTCATATGATATTCAATTTTCAAGTCGTCTGTTAATTGTTATCTTGGTTTATAAACGTCAGCTTTTCGGTTCCAGTAACTTTTAACCTAATAATGGTTGTTTGCAACCTTGTTGAAAGTGAAGATGTTAAAAAAAAAAAACTTGGTATAACTATATTAGTTTGTTTATCCCAACTGAAATTAAATAAATAATGGATGGGGTGGCTTTTAGGTACGACCTAATCCAACTTGCCAAAACTGTTGCAAATCCAATTTTTTATAGATGCTATTCATTACATTGATTCCTTAACTAATTATCAGTCTGTTTATGCGTTTCACATATTGACTTCCACCTCGTCTAATTAGAAATAACAAGCTGTAGTCCATATGATTTATTATTAACTTCTGCTGATGTATTATTTTGTGACTGCTTGATTCATGTCTGTCATTCTGCAAATGTTGATGAACTATTTTTTTAAAAGCAGGCAGGCAGCTTGCATCATAGTCATCAGTAGCTATAAAATTCAAAATCTGAAGTTGAAGTAGGTTTAATAAAAATATCATTTCTTCGTCTTCATCAACACTTTCAGAGTTTTTAGATTCATGTGCTTCACCAGGGAAACTAACTCTTGTGAATACAGGTTAAATGCTTTGCAATTTTTGAAGTTTTGTAAAAATATACTTACTTTAATGACAAAAGTTGGCAAAAAAAAATCATAATTGTTATTATTATATAATTTGTATAATTTTTATATAATTTCACTTTATTATTCAATATGATTTGTCTATAATTTACGTCACGCAATTTTCGACAATATTTGACCCCTCCTCCTCCCAATCCTTGCATCATTAATTTGTTTCATTTAAATATAATATGCTGTTTTCATTTGTTTCTTATGTTTTTATTTTTTGAAAGTCTTAACTTGCATAATAATATTTAAAATTATTTCTTTGTTTTCCATTTAGGTTAAAATAAAAATGTTTTACTTATTTTGTTAAATTTTATATTATGTAGTAGAATCTGTAAAATTCTTATGTTATGTAAACAGAAAAAAAAAAAAAAAAAAAAAAATTATATTATAAGAATTATAATGTTTTAAAAGAAGCACCTATTAACAAGCAGAGAAATTAAAATTATAAGCTGTTTAAATTTTTTTTTTCCAGATAAAAATATTTTATTTTGATTTGAAAAATCAAAGTAAATTTTTTTTTTTTTTCATTCTTTGTTTACAAAAAAAGAAACTCTCAGAATTACTTTGCATTACTTTGACAAATAATGAACGCGCAGGCAATTATAAAATGCATAGGAAAAGCTATTTTTACATTGCAAGTAATATTTTCAAAATTTTTATAAAATTTTTATAAGTTTTTAAACAAACTAGAGTGTTTGTGTAGAAAATTCTATGCAGGTAAAACGAAACTTAAGGTTCAACACGCATTTGCCAACATTAAAAATATACTATTGAGGGAAAATGGAAAAATTTCGCCGTGGCTGGAATAAAAACAACACTGTTAAAATAAAGGTAGACTATTTTGAGAGAAAAGTGAGAGAATCTTTGGAAATACAGTATCACCAATGTTCTCCAAATGAAGGTGATTTGAAAGAAGAAGACGGTGATTACGTCACATCGTCGTTTTGGAAACTTTTTAATTTTATTTTAGACGCAAGAAAATTGAAGTTTTGTTATTTGTTTGTATTTTGACGGGTTTTTTTATATTACTTGAATAATGAGGGTATAAAAATATTGTATTATTATTAGAAAATATTGTAAAATATTGCATTATATTATAAACAAATATTGTTTTATATTATAAAATATAAAAATATTGTATTATATTATAAAGAATTTCATAAGGATAAGTTTATATACTACAAATAGATGTTTTAACTTAATTTAAATATATAAAAACTTATCTCATGAGACAAAAACGTCTTAGCTCAGACGTTTTTGAAAATTATAAACTTTTTAGCAACATTTCTTGTAGTACGTAAAGTTATAATTAGTTATAAAACATCAAAAACAGCATACTAACTAATTTTTCTTTTTCTTTTTTGTGATATTTCGGTCGAATTTGTATAGACCATCATCAGACGAAAAATACCAATTTAAAAAACCGTTACAAAATAAAAATCATAAAGAAGTCATTACAAAGACGAAGTCAATAAAAATTGCTTTGTTTTTTTATGATTTTCTTAAACAGTTGTTTCAAATAGTCTCCAACTATTTGAAACAACTTTTACCTGAAATGTTTGCGCATTTTAATTTCAAGCGATTTCCTTCTTTTCATTTCATGATAGTTGTTATATATAGATGAAGTTTTTGGGTGCAGTCTGTCGAGTATCCAATGACATTCTTTGCAATGCTGAGTTGTTCCAGAAGCATGTCAGTTGCCATTCATGCTATTAGTTTGGTGTTCTACGCTTCTTTGCAAAATTCTCTTTTTTGTTTCTCCAATATAAATTATCCCACACGAACACGTAATCTTGTACACCCCTGGGTTGCTGTTTGGCATTAATCTAGATTTGAATTTAATCTAGAATTGTTTCTAAATTAGGTGGTGTAAAAATAACTTTGACACTATATATTTTTAGTGCTTTGTGTAGTTTCGGTACAAGTGTTGGTAGCCCTTGGTAATTTTATTATTGAAAAATTTTTTCTAGTTTTTTTGCAACTTTATAATTAGGATTGTTTTTATTTAAAAGGTAATTCGCGGCAATTGTTTCTAAGTTTGATCTCTTATGACCGTTTTTAACAAACATATCTATTATAAACTGCATCTCGTTGTTTATGTATTTTTTGCAGCAGATTTTGGTGGCTCGTGATATGAAACCTTTAAAAACTCCAGTAATAATTGCAGGGTTGATATTTGAGTCAGGTTTTATTTGTATGTTTGTTATTGCTTCTATGCGCTGGATTTTAAAATCGTAATGGTAATTGTTTGTGTTAGTTATTTTTATACCTAAAAATTTAAAAATGTATATCTAAAAACTTATACCTTATGCTGAAATGATCAATTTTACTACTTTGGAAACTCGCCGGAGACGTGGCGACTTGATCCAACAGTTTAAGCTAGAAAATGGTTTTGACATTACCAATTGGCATTATCCACCAATTCGCAGATCACCTTCCAACGTCCTAATGCGTGAGCTCACATATTATAATGCTCGTCACAGTTTTTTTACAAATCGTTTTGTCAATGATTGGAATAACTTGCCGTCAGCATGCAAAAAGGCTCCGTCAGTTAACGCATTTAAGAATAGAATTGACAAGTTTTTTTTTTTTCTGCAAACAGTACATTTTTTACTGAAGATGAGCTGCACGTTTTTTAATTCGTGTTTTAGCAGCTACAAATAGTGACTTTTTAAATACTATTATTGGTTATAGATATAAACTTTAATTAAAGTTTTATTTCACAAACCATAAATTTTTGTATAATTTTTTGGTTTTGTTTATTTGTTTTTTAATTATTTGTCATGTTATCTAAAAAGACTTATTTAAATATATTACTGTTACTATTACTAAAGATATCTAATGACTTCTCGGATATTTCGACTCTTGAAAGATCGAAAAAAATTTCAACGCGTCTGTTAAAAGCAAAAGTTTTTAGCAAACGCGCTCTTGCCTCTCTTTCAAAATCAACAAATTAGGGGTTGCGCCGTTCTCTGATTTTCACATTTAGAAAAACCAAAAAATAATAAATTAAATATTTTTATTTGGTGTAATTGAAATATTAAGCACCTTTTTTGACATATGAAATACTAGTTTATCAAATCTCCTTAAATATTTAGTAATCTAAGATAAAGTTTATTTAGAGTGTTCTGTACTTAGCTCTGTCCTTATTTTATTTTGTTTTTAACATTTTAGCAAGTGTCAAATTTATTGATCGGTTAAGGTGTTTTAAAAAAATGAAGCATTTGCTAAGTTATGTAAAATAGTTTTTTGTTGTTAAATCTAACATTTTAACCATAAGTTGCATTTTTAAATATAATAAGCCGTTTATAACACATAAACGAATCAAGTTTCAAAGTCAAGCCGAATTTCGCTAGGCTGTAATGTTTAGTTTTGAAATAATAAGCCTAAAATAATAGTTAAGTTGTAAAATAATAATAATTTATTGTGTTTTAGATTAATACTAGGGCAACAACATAGCAATATAGTATAATTGTAACTATAGTAGCAACTTAGCGTGTGGCCTGAGTTGAATGTTTTTGTTTAAAGTTTATTATTAACGTTTCTTTATTATCAAAGCATTTTGTTAAAACATGTAAAAACATTTATAAAAAATAAAAACAAAAAATTTTCTGGTTGTTTGAGTTTTTTTGTCTGTTAGATACAAAGTAACAAGTGTATATAATATCATAGAATCATAGATAAATAAAATTATTTTATGTAGAAATGTGCCATTTGTAATTTGTAACCAAGGAGATTGCTATGGCTCCTAGTGAATTATCTGAGGTCAGTGTATACTTTAGGCATATATATATATATATATATATATATATATATATATATATATATATATATATATATATATATATATATATATATATATATATATATATATATATATATATATATGTATATAAATTTATATATATATATATGTATCTAAATTTATATTGTATATATATATATAAATTTATATTGTATATATATATATATATATATATATATATATATATATATATATATATATATATATATATATATAAATTTTTATTGTATATATATATATATATATATATATATATATATATATATATATATATATATATATATATATATATATATATATGTTTTTAATTTTAGAAGGATTTAACACGATCTAAGGTGAGATTTCACTTTTTATAATAAATATTTTTAAATGATTATATCAATATATAAAAATATAAAACAAGGAAAGCTGTAAAGCTCAGAATATAAGTAAACTACTCTTTTTGTGCCATATATGAATAGTTCATTTAAAAAGTAAACAGATTTTGTCATCTTATTTTTCTACTGTTCTATTATTTATTAGCATTTGATGTGTGAGAAAATTTTGAGTGCTTTCTTAATGATTACTAAAAGATATTTTTTCAACAAACAAAATAAAATAAAACACAAAATAAAATAAAATAAAAAAAAAGACTTCAGAGAAGAAGCTGCAGAAAAATAAATTTTGTTAAAGTAGGGTAAGATGGGGTAATTCCAACCCCTAGTTTAAAAAAGTGCATACAAACAGCAATATAGACTGAAAACATTAATTTTTTAAACAAACTCCTTTTATTTAATAAATAAACGTAAACTTAGTTTAAAAATTAAAATTATAACAACAAACAAAAAAAAAAAAAAATTTATTCAAAAAAATGTATAAAATGGGGCGATTTCACTCGTTTTGAAACATTTTTAAAAATAGCTTAGGAAATTAAAATTTGTACATTAAAAAACATTAAAATTAAGCAAAAAAAATCATAAAAAAGAAGATATACATTCATAAACAGTCAGGAAATAATTTTCATTTGATAAAAAAAAATTATTCTTTTAGCAAAAAAAAAAATTAAAACAGAATGCATTTTCTACAATAGAAATTCCGAACTGTTAGCTTCTTCAGCTGTAAGTTGGGAGCATTAAATGAAGTTTAATATTATTTCTTTTACTAAATACAAATATTGTTGCTTCATAATTAACATGTTGCTCAAGTTTATTAATAAGCAAAAATTCAAATTTTCATTTTTAAAGTGTCACTATCTGGGGGGGGGGGGATTTCCTAGAGCTATCATTCGATTTTACTTGTATTTGTGTTTTATTTGTATTCATTTATACAAATAAAACACTTAATTGAACCGAAATATAGTTGTTCAATAAAATAAAATAACACATTAAACATATATAACAATAATAAATGAATTACATTAGTAAAAATATTTTAATTTTTTTTTTCTAAAAGCGTAAATATGGTACTTACATTGCAGATGAATTCTGATTTCCAAAAAAAGGTCTTGTAAAAAAGTTTCTATAGCAGTGTGAACAAAGGAAGTATACACATTAAGAGTAACAGGAAGTTGACAATGTATAACAGGAAGAGAATGTCTTCCTAATTTATAGCTCATTTTTATTGGTTCAAAACTCTAAGGGGGCTGGCATTGCCCCAGGGGTGAAATTATCCCATCTTACCCTATTTAGTTTTATTATTTGAAGAAAGACACTGGATTATTATTTTGAATAATTTTTAAAGTGTGATCTACCTGTTTATTACCTATTTCTCTGTTTATTATTTTATTCAAATGATACAGGTCGGGCAAGTGAAAGGGCAGGTGATAACTTTTTAAGTGGAAACAACTTATCTAGGAAAAGAAAAATTCTGTTAAAAAAACGCTATTTAATTATAAGAAATGGTAGGAGGAGCATTTGGATGGCAATTTTTAACTTTTGGATGGCAATTTTCTTAGTGATGCTATCACAATAAAAATATTCATTTCTGATCTGCAAAACAGGTTAATATAGGGAGTATTTCTGGTTATTAATTATAAACACTTCTATGATATCATATATAAATAAGGAAACAGTATTATGTAAAAACTATTCAATCCACACAAGTGTTGACATTATCAATGTTTAACTTAAAAAAATAGTAAAATTTATATAAAGTTTTGTTGAAATTGTAATAATAGTATAGTACTTAGAAGTGGGGGGAGCCAAAGATCTATGGTCATCTCTTAATAAATTAAATTTATGAGTTTGATTATGGTATCTGCATGGCTTTTGATTTTTTTTTTTATTGATTTTTTAATTTTTGACAGCTACTCACTACTATTTATTATTTAATATATATATATATATATATATATATATATATATATATATATATATATATATATATATATATATATATATATATATATATATATATATATACAAACACATACACAAAAAAAGAGAGGGAGATAGTTGTGGCTAGCCTAGTTAATTTATGTCCAGCCCCTGGACTGTATATATATGTGATTTGGAAGAGTTGAAACATTTTTTTGAACATTTTTCACTCAAGAAGTTTAATTAAAATTGTGACTAAGTTTTGACAAAGCTTTTTGTACTAAACTTGGTGTTGCATTGCAACAAACAGTTGTGAAAATGGTTTGATTAGGATGATAATAACTTTAAAATATCAAAACAAAATTTAATTAAAATTTTAATTAAAGTTTTTTTATTATACCAAATACTATTTATCTAAATTAGCAATATTTGTTTTGAAATTGTTGTGTTAAGAGTCCTGATAGTGGATCAGATGGAGATACTAAGTATGCGTTACAAGAAGATAAGAAAAAAAGTCAGCCTCAAGGAGAGAGTATGTTTTTAATTTTAATAAATTTTTTTGTTATGCTCATTTAATTAAAATATCAAATTTTTTTAAAATTTGATTTAATTTTTTAATTGAATATAAAAATCTAATATAAGTTTAATTTGATAATTATAATTATCTTTTGTTATAAATTACATATTTCCACACTATTTTTTACAATACAACTGAAAAATATTTGGACTGTATGTTAATATTTTACTGACAATTTTTTAGTTAATTCCTGTTGAATGGTGACCAAATTCTTTTTCATTGGAATGAAAGTTCTACCTGAAAGGCCTTGGTTTTTTGACATATGTCAAACAAAAATAGTTTTTAAAAAAAATATTGATAGCTGGAAAAAAAACTTATGATTAAGCAAAAGGACTTCAAGTGATTTAAAGCTGATGCGATTCCTAAGCACAAGAAAATTTAAAAGATTTTTAGGTGCTAATTACGCTCCTAAAAGATGTTAAATGAAAATAAGAATAAATTCTTAAACCCACCAGGTGAGGAAGGCAAATTATTTGATTATAGCATGATAAATTAGCTATAAATATACATAATTATTTAGTTGAGGCAATAATGATGGATGCCTTTAATAATGATTTGATGCTGTTTCATTGAGAAATTAGGAAAACTTTTATTTAATACAATTCTTAAAGTTTAAATGGATCTACATAACATCTGGTTGTACTATAATGTATGCCCTCTCCCCTATTTATTAGTTATCGACAAAAACTCCCTAAGAACCATTTTTAACTATTTACAGCATCCTTTTTTTTTAAACACCTCCGTTTCCAACAAGGCTGCAAGCAACCACTAATTAGAGTTGGAAGTTACTGGAAGAGAAAAGATGAAGATTGTAGAGCAAGATAATGATTGACAGACGACTTGCAAACTTTATGAATTATATGATTGCAAATTATATGAATCAGGAAAGCAAGATGAAGGAAGCAAATTAAGAAAGCGAGATAAAGGAAGCAAAAATTATATGATTGCAAATTATATGAATCAGGAAAGCAAGATGAAGGAAGCGAATCTCAAAGAACTGTTGTTCGAGGAAAAAAACTAGAGGAATAAGAGTTTTTAGAGCACTTAGAAACAGTCACAGAAAAAGAATAAGGCTTAGTTGAACTACGAGTAACATGAGAATGAATTTTAGTAGATGGCGCAAGCGACTCTTGCCCTTTAGAGCAGTGCCCATTATAGTATTTGTAGAAAAGAGAAGCAACATTACGACGGTGTGGTAATGGTTAAAGGTTGGCTGCACTAGCAGGTCCAACTATGTTTACAATGCTTTTTTGCACCTTGTCTAAAGTAGGAAGGGCATCATTAGAAGATCCACCCCAGATATGGCTACAGTTTTACACACAAAGCCGGATTTGAGATTTATAGAGATAGAGAATAGAATTCGGAGTAAGAAAGTGTCAAGCTCGATAAAGAAATGCAACCTTAGCAGATGCTAATTTTGCAAAGGATTTGATATATGGTTTCCAAGAAAGATCGGAAGTAGGAGTTAATCCTACAAAATGAAGGGTAGATGACTCATCGAGTCATCTACCCTTCATTTTGTGATAGACATTCCTATATCTATGAACATCACCGTTCATAGATATAGGAATGTCTAAATTATTGCGATATTGATTGGCTGAAAAAATTGAGTTTTATCTAAATTAAAGTTCACCAGCCACTGTGAGCCCCATGATGTAGCAGAAGTGAGATCTTTTTTAAGCTCAGATGCCCCCTCCAAGCAATCAGAGAGTGTTGGTTTCTTACCATGACAAGAATAAATGGTAGTATCAAGCTAAGAACTATAGAAAATGTTGTTGTAGTTGTTCTTCTGAAAGTTCTATTTGTTTTTATTTACATGTATTGTTTATTACTATCTTATTTTAGTCTAAAAATAAATATAACTTAGGCAGCTATAAAACTGCATTTTAAAAATAGAAATTCCACAGGAATATTGAAAAAATTTATTGCATTAACATTTTTAAAAAGCTTCTTGATTACAGAATGTTGCTCCATTGTCATTATTTACTGTTTATTCATTGGATAGATTATTGTAACATCTATTGTCTTAATGTGCATTTCATTGTCTGAAGAATCCGATTCAGGAGGTTCTAGTTCAATCACGATAATCGAAGATATTGAATTTTTTTTAGTTATTTAATTCCATATGGCTTTTTCTAAAAAAGAAGAAAAAAACAAAAAATGAGTTTAGAAAAAGAATATTATGGACTTTAATTTAAAAAGCAAATTAAAGTTCCATAACAACAGTTTGAGTCTAGTTTTATTCCAAATGTTTTCAATAATAACTTTAAACAAATTTACAATAAAAAAACTTTGCAGTTTTGAGCTTAAAAGTAATGTGAAATCTGTTGTCTCCCATGTGCTTGGATGTTGATTTAAAAAATCTGCAGGAACGTCTATTGTAGCAAATATTTTTTTTTGGGTTTGTTGTAACAAAATTAAAGAGCAGTCATTCAAGAGCCTCTTCCCTGATGCAACTGATGATACACCCCAGAAGTTCTTTTTGACCATAGTGGTTCAACCATCACAACCTTGTTATTATCAGAGATGGCTGGAATAACATAAATGATAAGAAAACCTCTTTATTTCATCATCAGCAACAATTCTATTTCAATGAACTGTTTTATTATTTCTAAGTCATTTTAAGGTGCTGATGTTAGAAACAGAATGAAAAGGCATTTGAACCATGGCAATAGAAAAGGCATGTGAACCATGTCTTTAGATGCACTTGCAGAACAAACAGGTTGAACTGAATATATCTTTTCAGCTCAGATGCAGTTAAATGATTTTATATCAAAATCTATTTCGTTCCCGAAATAGATTTTGATACAATATATTTGTCTTTCAATTTACTCAATGGAAAGCCTCTGAAATAATGATGTGTCTATCATAACATGGAACAACTAGGAACAGCTAAAACAGATTTAGAAGCTCTTTGTAGTCATCACATGCATGAAAGACTTTCAACTGACTTTGCACAAAATTAACCAAGTTGTCCAAATGGTCTTAGTTAAATAGCAATCAACTCATTCATCATGTTGCTTTTATAACCATCTTTGTCAATTGAGATCCATTATTTTTAAAAAGACATTATTGTCGATTTATTGTCGATTTACTGTTCATCAAAACATTGAAGACTTTTCCCATGATATGTTTATGAATGTGATGTCTACAGGCTTAACTGAGAACACTTTACTGTAATTTTGCTCTAGTAAAACACATCTTTATTTTTAACTTTAAACTTTAAAACTTTAAACCACTATTGATAGAGTTTGTTCCAAAGGACATAGATTGTATCTGGCCAGTCAGACTTCACTCTTCAACCAAAATGGAAACAGCAGAAGCCTGTGCTTCACCAACTCTATTGGGTAGAAATGGAACTCCTAAGAGTTTCATTATTCCTTTGCTTGATACCAGTATTGCTAGCTGATCCACAGATTCTTTTGATGGCAAAGCAGGCAACAACTTACCATCTAAATGGGCTTTTAAAGAAACATTAGAGGGAATGATGCACAAATTTCTTTAGCAGTATTCTCTTGATATTGGTGCTGAGCATGTCTAATCGACTCCTGATTCATGACAAGTGCAACAGGATCATGACCCAATTGTTGAGCTGTGGCAGCTAGGATGTTGATAGCATTTCTATTGCTAAATGACTTCAGTTAAAAAGCATTAACACTAATTGTGTCAGTATATCTTTACTGATTAATACTATTGCAAACAAAAGATCATAAAAAGCGTAATTTTCACTATATAAAATATAACGTATACAATCTAAAACATTACCTATAATGCAGAAAAACTTATGCACAATGATTAATCAGAAATAAAAAACTACATCACATGACACATGGTTCTTGATACTGAATTATCTGGTTTCTTTAAACCATAAAAAAAACTAAACTCCGCATAAATTATTTAGCACAAAACTTTGGTTTATGGTGATTTAATTGTTTTCATATTCATAGTTTGCCATATATTCTGTAGTTGAAAAGGCAGTTCTTCTTTGACTTTGAACAACCTTTAAATGTTAACTGTTTCATTTGAAACTTTTTATAGATGAATTTGACATTGTTAAAAACACTTTTTGTGGGTGAGACAAGACAATTAATATATATATATATATATATATATATATATATATATATATATATATATATATATATATATATATATATATATATATATATATATATATATATATATATATATATATATAAGTTGTTACTAGTTCCTTTCTGATGTTATGGAAACATGCATTTGATTTTCAAAACAAATATAAAACAAAACTTCTCAATAGTATTTTTAATTTTAGTTTAGTGTAAAAAAATCATAAATTTATTAGTGTATTTACATTTGAAAATTTCAAGTTACAAATTTTTTTTTTAATAGTTTCCAATTTGTATAAATATTCTTTTTTAATCTTTCTTTAAAATTATTTCTTATAGTTTATATTTCTAAATTTCCAGATACCAGATATTTTTGCAAACTCTAAAAATATCAGAGGAAGTTTGATTTTTTTCTCGTTAATTTTTAGTTCGTGCTGGATTACGTTCTTTATTTTCTGATAAACCAGTAAGAGTGAAGTTTGTCAATTTGACTGGTAAAGAAGTGCAGTTGTATTGGATAAATTATGTTGGAGAATGTGAAAAGGCTTTTAAACTTTTAGATGGAAAGTGTGATGTGATTGATACATTTGAAACTCATCCTTGGATTGCTGCAAATGCGCGTAATAAAAAGGTGCATCATGCATTTACTATTGGTAATAATTTAGTGTATTATCCTATTCTTGGACCAAATGGAGGAAAATTTGCTGTAGCTGAGATTCGAAAAGCTCCCGGTAAGAAAAATGTATGTGTTTTTAATTATTGAATTTTAAACCTCTCTTATATCATTATTACATCATTATTACTTAAATATTAATGTAGTATTTTTTACAATACTTATTCCGTATAAATACCTTCAAGGTTTTATTAACCTTTTTATACATGGATTAACACATTCTTCTTTTCTTTTTTTTTAGTTTATTTTATTAAAGCAATTGCTATAAAGATAGCTACTGTTGTTGTAGAGATGGGGGTTGCTTACTATAAAATAATTTAATTTTTAATTATTTATTGTTTTAAATAATGATTGGTTTATATGATTTTATAAATGAAGTTTTTTTAAAATATTAAACTTGTAAATAAGTTTCAATCTTTAATAAAATGTAAATTCTTTATTCACAATGAGTGAAAGATTCTGCCCATTTCTTAAAACTGTTACTCGGAAACGCAAATATGTAGATGGTATATCAGATTAAGGTTGGTGAGTGTCTTTAGGCATGGTAGAGGTGCTTCACCTCAAATAATGAAAACTCTGATATGAAGCCGCTAATTTAATTGTGGGTAATCAGAGAAATTTGCTTGTATTGTAAACTTACTAGGCATGGTATTTTTGAAAAAAATATCACCCCTTAGAAAAATTACCGCTCCCAACAAGGCTACTTATCTAGAAAACAAAGAATATTGTTAAAGAGCACGGAAACAGTTGACAAGATTTAAAAAGTTGAAGATTGTATGAGTAAGAAAAAACATTAAGAATGGAGAGAGTTTCAAAGCGTTGAATTGTGAGGAAAAAACTGAGATGAATACAAGTTTTTAGAGCGTGAAGAGACAGATACTGTAAAAGGATGCGACTTTGCTGGATGATAAATCAAGAAAGTATTTTTTGATGTAATTAGAGATGATAGCTCCTTTGAGCAGTGACCATGATAGTATTTTCAAAAAAGAGAAAGAGATGAACCTTACCAGAATGGGAGAAAGATTCAAGCTTGACAGATAGAGCAGGTCCAAGCATGTAACTATTGGTGCCTTTGTTAATCAAGAAATAGTAGCCATTAATACTGAGATCCAAGGAATTTTCAGCCAAATTCAAATTAGTTTCACAAAGAGCAAGTAAGTTTGGTGAATCTTGAGGTAAGATGCAACTGATGGAAAGTAACTTTAAATACCACAAATATTTGTAAAATATATATTGAAACGGTAAGGTGGTGGTGATGGTTTTTTTATATTTAATATTTTTGGTTACTTTGGTCATGGCTTAAGATAAAAAGAACTTGACTCGTTTATAAATCATAGCACTCATGGACACCATCCATGTCAGCATGTCACTGTTAATACTCTGATATTTTACAGCTGTTAATGGAATTAGCCTCTCTGAGAGCTACCACAGAGTTCAAATCTTTACTACCAGCCTGCATCAGAACCATTAAACTAAATTTCAGAACTGTGCCCTTATTAGAAGATGACAGGAAGAATTGCATAGCCAATATCAAGGAGGCACAAGTAAAAATCTAAGAGGAGAGTCAAGGAGATCCAGCATTCATTATCCTAGGCAGGAAACAATTTAACACAGGTTTACTTCTATGCCAGCCTAATAGATGAAGGGGTTTAGGCTGGTGAACTGAATTATTCTGCTTACCCTTTAAGTCTTTGCATAGGATGCCTTCTACAAGACAATAGCTGGATGGAGTTAACATCTGCCCAAGATGAGTATTTTTATTGGGACATTAGTTTTTACTCAACCAAGAGCCCCAAGACAGGGGTTTTTAAAGTCAGTTTGTTTCTCTTAGCCTTTGCCTAGGAAAGCAAACTATACAAGTCAGCAGGATTTGGGACATCTAGTGCTGGGTTTCATGTTACAAGTAGCAGGGTGATTTTGATGATCCCAAACCTGACCTGACCTGGTTTAGTTTAAAAAACTAATTAAAAAAAAAACTACTCTACTTTTGTAAGTAATACTTTAAAACATCAAATAGGATATTTTAGAAATGCGTTAGGAAAAACATTGCATTTAAAGAAATAGTAGAAATTAAGGTGAGTGTATGTTATAGTCGCAGTCACTACTTGGTAATTGAGCTAACACTACACCAAAACTAGATACCACTTTAGACAAGACAGATACCACTATAGATACGACAAGTATTAAATAGTATTAAATACAGGATATATAATTTTTCTAGTCTTTGCTTAGAAACCAAATACTTTAAGGCAGCAATACAGGGAACAGGTAGCACTGGATTACATGTTACCCATAGTAGGGTGATCATGATGACCATACACCTGACCTTACACTGTCAGGTCATTACAATATATATACTCAGTCTTGGTCTGCAAAATACAATAACACCAGAAAGGGTTGTAAAAAGCTGCTTTATCTCTTTTATTATATCATTTGGAGTAGGAATATGGAAACCCACCAACTTATCTAAATATATATATATATATATATATATATATATATATATATAATTTTTTTTTTTAGAAAAACTTGCTGAATTAGCATCTAGTCCTAATGGTGTTGAGGTAACTGTGAAGTTCATTAATCGTACTTCTTGTCGCGCTTTTTTAGAAATAATTAAGGAGGACGGAGAGAGAGAACTGAAACATACTTTAAAAGCTGGTAATTTTTAAGTTGTTTTCTTTCAAATATTTTCAATAAAGAAGGTACTTTTCATGATTGAATTTTTTTTTCAACATTTTTTATGTTTAGGAGAAACATTCACTACCGTTACTCAAGAGAAAACATATTGGATTTCTGTTATGGACAAAGAAACTGATGAAGGGCTTTTACTAAATTACGGTTGGTACTATTCTCCTATGAAAACAAGAATGAAGAAAGAAAGATGCTACATTACTGACTGTAAGATTTTAGTTAAAACTAATAAAAAAAGGTTTATTTGTATAATAAATATTACATATAATTATGCATGTTATTTACATTATATATTCATAATTATTTTTTATACATTCTTTATTTATTTACCATTTACATATTGGTTTTATATACATTTAGATATTTAGTCGTTTTGTTCTCAAATTATCAAACTTCGTACAAAGTATTTCACTCGTCAAAGACGATAAAACCCTGATTACCTCCTGCACTAGATCGTGTTACAGATGATTGTTTTATATACGACGTGCATACTTGTATGTACGTATCGATTTTTGTGTTATATGCTATATTTTTGTAACTGACGTGCATATTTTTTGTACTTCTTTTTTATATAGCAAGTTAATATTAAAATTAAAGCTTTATGTACAATATACAATTATTTTTTATCCTTTATTTTTATGTAAAATATATTTTTATGTAAAAGATAAATAAAAATTTTAATGCATTTATTTTATCAACTCTATATATTTTTTAATTTTCCCATCTTAAAAAGCGGGTGCCAAATAACAAAAAACTACTTTGAGCTGTCCTGAAAAAACCGCTTTGACAGGGTAAAACTACAATGTTTACTGATTCCTTAAATCTGAAATTTAAAATGTATTCTTTTCGGCAAATGAAATAATCTTGATTTTTAGTTTTAAGCATTTTGCACAATAGGGTGAAATGAAAGCCTTTCAAATTTTGCTATTTTACAGCATTCAAAAATATTTTAAAAGTAGGCATAACTAATAATAATTTAAATACTAAATAATAACATAGTTAACTTTGACTCAAGTAAAAATTCTTCTTAAAATTGGATTCTTTATAAATACTTGTTGTTGTAATCCACAACACATAAAATAGGCGTCTTTGCATATTCTGAATGGTTGCCGTCTCTTATATCTCTGCCAGTTTGAGCTGAAATGATGATGAATTGGTTCTGTTGTCTGCTCACTAAAGATTTCCGTGGGTGCCTTTTTGATCTCAATGAACTGCTTCACATGAAAGATAACAACATGAACTTTTATAGTCACACTGAAATTCATTGCCAGATTCGAGTCTCTGAAACGATCAATTTTTTCGACAGTCATTCTTGAGAGTCATACCAAAACATAGAGTCACCACAGACTGAAACTTTCAAAGAGCATCACTTATTCCAAAGACCTGAAAAGCAGACTCAGACTCTGTCATACTTTGAAGGTACTTAAGCCTCTTGAACATGTAAACATTTTTAATGCCTTTTTTGTTCAAAATTTTTAGTTTCACTATGAAAAGAATTTCCCGTCTAAACTCTAAGTGGTAGGCCACCTTTTGGATGTGATATTTTGGGATTGTCTCCAGTAGTTGCAGGTTATTATAGATTGTCTCCAGTAGTTGCAGGTTATTAGAGATTGTCTCTAGTAGTTGCAGGTTAGTAGACCCATTCTAACAAGACTTAAACAATTGCCATATCGTTGGGGAGTACAGACTTCATAAGGTTTAGATTAGCCTACTGGGTTTTTCTCATTCAACTTCTAACGTCCTACTTAACAAATAAGACATATGCAGAAATCTTGTCGCTGGGTTTACTTTTATAGATAAGAGAGCAAAAAGAGATAGCAGAATAACATCTATTCCTTTACCTTTTCTTCAAAGAGTTGTTCAACATGAGTCCCAGATGCCTCTTGCCACTCACAGTGGCACTCTGGCACCTCTCAAATCAGTTTATATGGTAATGTTTGAAGATCTTTTTAACGACAAACTGTATCAACTCACGATAGCACTTGTTCAGACACAAAACAAAACATATTTCCGACAATCTTTATGTTTTTTTGCAAAATTTGATATTTTGAAAGTGTGTTAGCACTTGACATTAGTACTTTATAAAATGTTTTTAAAAAAGTAAGTTGTGTTTACTTTATTATTAAAGTTGATATGTTCCCAATTTATTAGCGACAAATCTTCTTTAAACGAGTTTAAATTAATGTTGTTAAACAACATCTTTTTTTATATTTCTTTTTTAAAATCCAAAGATTTTGAAAAAAATTTAGGAAAATGATCAGATACATCTGTTTTGATTATTCCTTTTTTTAGCAATTTATTAAAAATGTCAATGGTTAAGATATTGTCAATTAAAGTGGATGAATAATTTGTTATTCTTGTTGGTCAATTTATTATTGGTATTGTTCCTGTTTCAATAATATCTATCTAAATAATAATAAAATCTTATACAAAAACCAATTTGGTTAAAAAAATTCAAAAAAACAAGCTATATTCCAACTTACGCGCAACATTTCAGAATCTTTAAAAAAAATCTCTTTTCACATTAGGAATATTTATTGACTTATCTAAAGCTTTTGATACCGTCAACCATCAAATACTAATACAAAAGTTATCATCGTATGGAAATGAAACGATTTGTAAGATAGCTTTTTAATGGAATTAAAAAGCTATCTTACAAATCGTTAGCAATAAGTTTATAATAAAGAATCCTCGTCTCTTTTTTAGTATTTATGAATATAACGTGTGGTGTTCAATAAGCCTCTATACTTGGACCTCTTCTCTTTATAATATATTAAACGATCTCCTTAAAACTTCAAGCCTAACCAAATTTATCTTTGTAGACGTCACAAACTTTTATCTATCTCACAAATATATATATATATATATATATATATATATATATATATATATATATATATATATATATATATATATATATATATATATATATATATATATATATATTCAATAATATGACAAATGAATTAAAAAAAGTTTCAGATTGGTTCAAAATAAATAGGTTATCTCTAACACTGCTAAAACTAAATGGACACTTTTTTATCCACTCAAAAATATAGAATACCGCATCTGTTACCTCATCTCTACATTGACAATAATCTTTACATTACCATTATCTCTTCTAGAGTTTCAAAATGCATCGGTATTCTATATAAAGCTAGAAACATACTAAATAAACGGCAGTTGACACAAATATACTATTTATTTGTTCACTGTCATATAAACTAAAAATTACATGGAAATGCGCTCAAAAGACAAAACTTAAAACTCAATTTTAATCAACAGACACACGCAGCTCGCGTAGTAAAACTATAGAAATTGTTTTACACACTCTGCGTCTTTTCTTAAAGATATGAAACTTTAAATGTTTATCAACTTAATATTTTTAATATTTTATGCCTTATATTCAAGTGTAAAGAAAATGTCACTCCACAGGTATTTCAATAGCTTTATTCTTTAAAAGCGAAAAACAAGTATAATTTACGAATTGACAACAATTTCAATGCTCCTTTTGCAAAACTAAATATAAAGAATTTTGTATGCCCTATCATGGACCTCTTGTTTGCAACAAAAACGTTTTACCTAATTTTGACTTAAATAAGTTATTCTGGATTTAAATTAAAATTAAAGAAATTATGTTTTAAATTAAAAACATCTTTAATCTATTTTTGAGTTTGTCTTTCTTCGTTATTGCTGGTATATTTATTATATTATGTTTTATCGTTTACGAATATTTCCATGATTTCTTTGCAAACTTACCTATCTCATGGATTTTCTTTTCATATTTTATTGTTATTTATTGCTGTGTTTTGTTAAACTTTTTGTTGTTTTACGAATATTTATAACTTCATTGTAGTTTTATGTATTTATATTATATTATACTCGGTACTAAAAAATATTGTAAGTGCTTCATGATAAGATCTTCTAGATCTTCTAAAAATCCAGCTGCTAACTTGTAATATGTTAAAATTTGTATTGCTAATATTATCTGTTCGCAAGAAGAAAAAAAAAAGTCATGTGAAAAAATTCTTCTAAAATGTACTCTGCTGATTTCCAAAAATATTCAGCTAATACGTCTTGTATAGGAATTAAAATCTGCAAAAATATTTTAGATTCAATGCACTCGTGAAATTTTAAAACCTATCTTTTAATTGAGTTAAAGTGAACTTTATTTATATTTAATATGTGAATTGTTATATTTTGAGTAATAGAGTGTTTTTGACTATTGTAAAAATAAAAAGTTTGAAAAGCTGTCATATTGTTTCATTGTGCAAAACGTTAAAAACTAAATATCGCTTTCAATTCAAAGTAGTTTATGACTATTTTTTTCAAAAACAGTGAATAATTATGCTCTTAATTATAAATTATGACAATTATGATCTTAATGAATACTTATGGTAATTGTGATCTTATCAAAGGATTCAGTTTTCGGACATGTTCCAAGATGCAAAACTATTAATTAGCTGGAAAAATATAAGTAAATAATACTTAAGTAGGTTTTAAGTGGGTTTTATCAATTAAATAACAAGAACTGATTCGAAATAACAAGAACTGATTCGAAATAACAAGAACTGATTCGAAAAAAATATTTATTTACAGTTTTTGTTTGTGTACAATTTAATTGATTTAAAAAAAAATTAAATTAATAACTTTTTTAAAGGAATTTTATAGATCTTATTAAAAAAAAAAATTTTGAAAACTGAACAATATGAAAAAAAAAAAATTAGTTTCCTGAGTTTTTGGAGGTTTTCAAGCTAAGTAATATTAAACATTTTTCCTTTCGGATGTTAACTGCATTTATATCTTTTAATAGCAAAAAAAAACTCTGCACTAAATATTTTTGGATATAATTGTGCGTTTGCAATAAAAGTTTAATGATGATCATCTGTCACCAATCAGGTGACTGATGATCAAACACCAAACTTAACGAAATCTTAAAACTCCTATATTTCTTCTAAAATTTTTGAGGTCAAAAAGTGTAACGTAAATATTCTCTACAGTGTTCACTTTTTACATAATTTTACACAAATTTCATTTACTGTTGTTTCACAACAGAAAATGACAATGATATACGTTGCTTTTGTTATTTCAACCTAAAAATTAGCATTTTTACCACCAGTTTTCAGTCTCTTCTTTGATATTTGACAGTTGTTGCTTCACTTAGTCCTTTGTGCAACTGTTTTTCATCTGGATATGGAGTAATACTCTCCATATTACACAATAGTATTATAATCTTATTTCACAATGTATGTATTGAATTGACAAAAATTTGTAATTGGTTTAAAATAAATTTATTTTAACATTTTTAGTCTAAGCCAATACATCCTTTATTTTAGGACGCCTATGTTGAAGTGTTTAATTTGAACTGATTGTCATCTGATTTTAGTTCTTCTTCTATACAAAGTTACTTTAGCGATTACCTATCATTGTCTTTATCATCTTTCCTATCATCGTTCCTATCATCGTTCCTATCATCATTCCTATCATCGTTCCTATCATTGTTCCTATCTTCGTTCCTATCATCATTCCTATCTATTTTTCTACTAATTTTTATTATTTAATAACTTATCTTTTTTACCAGAATAGTTTATTTTAAAAACAAGTTTTTTACAAATCATAGCAGTAGGATTTAATGACGAAACGTATTATTCTTAGTTGGCTGAACCATGCATATCATAATGTTCTTAAATGTAATATAAAAAAACTCATAGGTGCTTATTTATTAAAGTGAGAATATAAATAACAGACGGGAAAATGTAATGATTCAAATGAATTTCATTAATTTACATAATTTTCGTCTTGAGATTACGTTCTTACACGAGGTCATGCATCTTCGTTTTATGCATACAATGCGTTTTTGTGTTACTAAAGGAATCTACAAATAATTTTTTTGTTCGTTTTCTTATCTATCAAAGTTCTTTGATGAATAATGAAAAAGAAACTGTATCAAAGTACATGCATATTATAGTTTTTTTAAGAACACTATTTTGAGGTTATTTTAGTTTTTACTGTACATGTATTTGTACTTGTACTGTATTTATACAGCAAATTTATTAAAAACCATTTAAGTTTGCAGATACTAAAATCATTTATTTAAATTGTTAACAATGAATTCATTGAATATGGACATATTTTAATATTACCCTATGTTATATTTCAAATACAGCCGAATGAACATTTTGTAAAATGCATTTAATCTTACAATTAATAGAACACATAAAAAAGCTATGAGCAATCAAAATTCCTAAGTGCAAAGGTTGATAAAATTTAATAAAAAATTTTTACATTAATACTTTTGAAGCAAATATCAAGAAAAATTGTAATCTTATATAAAGGTGAATAGTTTTTAAATATTAACTCTTTAGTATTTTTATTATGGTAAAATTTTTTCCAGAGATTTTTTAATTTGATTGATTTAACTTTTTTTATTATTAATTTTATGTTTATTATTTTATCTTTAAACTGTTTTTTTCCCTCAAATCAAATCTTTTTAAATTTGCTTTAATAGTTTTATTTTATATAAATCTACAAGAAAATTAAAAGTAAAAAACTTAAGTACAGTTTTTTAAAGGATAACTTAACATTTATACACAATCTTTGTTGAAGAAAACTTAAAATAAAATTATACATATATATATATATATATATATATATATATATATATATATATATATATATATATATATATATATATATATATGTATATATGCATAAATACATACATATATACATACATACATAAGTACATACATACATACATACATACATACATACATACATACATACATACATACATACATACATACATACATACATACATACATACATACATACATACATACATACATACATACATACATACATACATACATACATACATACATACATACATACATACATACATACATACATACATACATACGTATGCATGTATGTATGTCGTAGAGCATTTAAAGATGTAATTAAATTTATACAAATCAAAAACTTGAAATTAATTTTTTTATTTAATTGAAACATATTATTTTATTTTACTCTTGTGTTTGGGGAGAATATTAAATTAAAGAATTACTTGTGCGCACATTTTGTTATATTAGAATAATTATTCTTTCAAAATAAATATATAATAATGTTTACAAAGCAGTTTAATGTGTATAATCTGACATAAGATGTCATTTAAAACATAATATAATGTAAAAATAAAATCATAATTTTACTAATAAACGTGATTCAAAGTAAATATATAAATTCATTATTTCAAATAGAAAGCGTTAAATACTCTCTACCGGCTTGTAAAACACAACGCAAACATATAGTTTTTTTCGCAAACATATAAACGCTATTTACTCTAATTTAAAGTTTATAATTCAATTTATTATTTAAATGGCGTTGGGATTTTTTTCCGTATTGACAATTTCAATTTGGTTATTTCAAATGATTAAATAAGTTTTAAAATTTTCTTTAATTTTCTTACTAATATTTTTAATTTAAAAACTAATTTATTTGCTTTAATATATTGTGGAAACATTGTTTCACTATGGTTGATTCTGTGTGTAAATATTTTTAAAAAGAAAAAGAAGGCAAACAAGCCAAGTGTTTAAAATGTGCAAATAAGTTATTAGGTTGTAAGGTCTCGTCAACCAGTGGATTAATAAGACATTTACAACATGTTCATAACATTAATATTAGGAAAGAAAATGACAAAAAAGGAAAAAATAAACTTATTGTTAAAGTAAAATCACATAAAGAAAAAAATGGAAATTTATTCTTACGTTTGCTGAATGGACTAGTCTACGCAATCGGACACATTTGAATATTAATATTCATTTCAACTTGTCTGGTTAAAATTCTTGGAAACTGTACAGCTGAAATAAGAATCGATCTAGTTAAAAACTGTCAGACTTTGCAACTATTTTTTCAGATGTTTTTGCATCAACTACTGACGCTGCAATCTGAGAGATTGTCTAGTTTTATACACCGATTATGTTGTAAGCTCGGCATATATTTAGCTGTAATGGACGTTATTTATAAAAGAAATAAAAGTGTTCGTTACATTGATTTATTAGAAAACGATTCTAGTTTTTCCAGTGGTAACTCTAGTGAATTTGAAACTGAAAGTTATAATTAAAACGGTTTCGAACCCCAATTGTGTGAAGGAGATGATATAAATGCGACTTTACAAATGATTAAAAAAATAGCCTAAAATAATTTTTTTTAATTTTAGAAGACCATGTAAAAGTAGTGAAGTGCATCATTTTTAAAAATCTTTCAACCATTGAAAGATTTTTAAAATGTGATGAAATCAGTGAAAAAAGTATTGAATGACTTGAACTCCTTAGTGCTTTACGATATATCTTAGAGTTTTTGTACAAAATTTATGTTTAAGCTTTTCAAAATATTTTGTCCGCTGTTAAACAATCAGAATAGCTGTAGAGTCATTAGATAAATGTGATGCAAATTTGCTAACTGCTAATGCAATTTTAAAATATTCCCTGCATGATAATAATGATTTAACTTTTAAGGAGATACTAACTACTAGCTCTGTATTTTTAAGGAGATGTTACTAGCTGTAAAGAACAAATAAATCGAGATCTTGTGAATTTGATTAAATGCCTTCAAACGCTTGGTTTGCATTCAACTGCAACTCCTGAGCCTCTTTCATCATTGAAAGCTGCAATTATTCGTTGTGGCTTATTAAATGGATTATTCAGTGAAGATATTGGAATTGAATAATAATCCTTTGAAGAGAACGATTGTTTAACAGTTACAAATTTTAAAGACAAATTTTTTATTATTTTTATTTAGGTGTCCCTAGAAGACCTAAGGGTCTTGTCTCAGAGCACTGCGGAAGTGCATTTAACCAGGAATTTAACACCTCCGTCCTAAGCTATAAATAGCTATAAATGCAGCATGTAAAGCTATAAAAATTGTGAAAAGAATTTTAAATATATAACAATACGGGAAATATTACAAATAATTTTAAAAAGATAATTTGCAGACAACAAACGTCAATAAAAAGCGAGAAAAAATTTCCATAAAATTTCTCCATAAAACGAGGAATGTCATTTTTAGTGACTTATTTCCAGACTCCCTAACAATTTTAAAAAGTTATTTCCTAACTAAGTTCAAAAAATGTTTACAAGGAAAGTTTTTTCTCAATTTATGTATATACAAATTTTAAAATATAAACACAAAATTTGAAAGAAAAGAAATGTCGTTTTATTATTAAAACTTAGTTGCGGATGACGCTTTTGTGTTTATATATTTATTTTTAAAATGATTTTTTCCTGGAAATTCTAGGGAAAACGAGAAAAATTAAATTCTTCTACCCTCTAGCCGAAATGAACCAGTTGTGTTAGCTAGTTTTATTTAGTCAGAAAAAACGCAGATTTAATTGATTAGTAAAAACGAATAAATATATAATTTTTTCAGTAATATCAATTTGTTTTCACTAAAACCAATTTAAACTTAACAAGCAATAGTTAATTTGCATCAATTATTACTGATGTTGCAAATATGTGTTTGTGTGTGTGAGAGAGAGAGAGAGAGAGAGAGAGAGAGAGAGAGAGAGAGAGAGAGAGAGAGAGAAAGAAAGAGAGAGATCATTATAGTTTGTACCATATTGAATACTGGTAACAAACAAAAAATGATTTTGTTTGCATTAATATTTTTTTTTTTAATTATTATGAATCTTCTTTAAGTATATAATTTTTTTTTTTTATGAACGAGAATAAATAAAATAAGACATTCTCATATTACTTTGAATAATTTATATACGTTGTGATTTTTATTTTTTTAAACTATTTTTTGATTATTTTGATATGAAAAAGATTTTTCTTATGATATTCTCAATAAAAACAAAATTCGTTTATACATCCTAATAAAATAATTTTATACATCCTAATAAAATATATTTTTATATAAAGATGTGCATATATTTTGTTTAATCTAATATACCGTTTGTACTGACAGTAAAGCCCATTTTAATTTAAATTAATTATTATTAAAAAAGATGTGTTAAACAACAACAAAACAAAGAGGTGCATCTGAAAATTATCTTTTTACACTAACATTTTATTTACAAAAGTAGCAAAAAAAAAAAAGTAAAGAGGTATAAATAGAAAAAATTTTACGAAATTTTTATAGAGGTTTTTCCTTATCTACTAGAGTAATAAAATATTTTCATCAACGCTGGCAGACAATATTTTTACAGCAGAAATTTATAATAACAAAAAAGACATAAAAACATATCAGACCACTCCCTATTCTCCTAACAATCAATGCAATATCACCCCATAACGCCAATGTATGTGTGTACCCGAATATTAACAAATAAGTCTTCAAGCTCGCACCATATCAAAAAAGTTTCTGAAGCTTTTTTTCAAAAGTGTTATAGAGTTCTTCAACGCTTTTGTAAAAATTTGATGAAACTTTTTAAATTTTTAAACTTTAAACATCCTTCTAAAATGATGTTTAGCATTGCGATAATAGACTTTAAAACCTGATATTTATATGCAATCGCAGTTTAATATTTTCGACATAAAACCCTTACCGATATAAACAAAATCAGAAACTTGTTTGGTTTTAATCCAAGAAATCTTCTTTGCTACAATGATTTGAAAATAGAGAATCTTTATTGTAAAAATGAAGAAATAATTTTTGGCTTTTTTAAGTTTTGCTAGAAAAGTTAAAATAGATAATAAATTTAAAATTTAATAAATTTTAAAATTTTAATAATCTTTATTCGAAACAAGCAACTTTTGAGCTTAGTGGCATTATCTTGAATTGTCTTGAGCATTATTTTGTTGTTTTGAGATTATTTCATTGGTTAATATAACAAGATAATATATTAACCAAAGTAATTTTTGTTTTTTGTAATTAAATTGTTTTTTTGAGTAATGTACTTTTGTTGGTTCATTTTTTTATCAAACAAGTAATAAATAATAATAACGGCAACAAATATGTAAGAACACAAAAACTATGTATACACTTATTCTAAATAGATTTTTGACACAGCAGTAATAGTAAGACAGACAAAAGTATAGATAAATCAATAAAAAGCATTTCTAAATTGATTCGATGCCATTTTTGACCCCACATTGCATGCAATGCTGTGATATCCTAATAGTTTGTACTAAAACTTAAAAAAAAATCTGTTAATAAAAATGCTGTTCTGATGTGTCCTCAAATGTATATATTGACAATTCCATGTTTAAGTAAGTTATTTCGATAAATGAATAAATAAATTCAAACAAAAACCAAGTAATCGTTGGGTTGCCAAATGTTTAAAAAATGTTTAATTTTGATTAATAATATCATTTGTATTATTTTTTTTGTTTTAAATTTCAAATTGTTCTGTCATACTTTCTTTATAAATGGTAGCTAAATTACATTTAGATAAAAGCGTAGAATGGTCACAGTAAGGCGAGGCGAGTTTCCACTCATCGAAAAGGAACGGGATAGGAAAGGAAAAAATAATCACGTAAGCATGCGTAATAAAAGTTTTTATTTGTTTGAAAAAAAACTGCGCATGCTCACGTGATTATTTTTCCGTTCCCTTACCCTTTCACGTAGAAAAACGGATGAGTGGAGACTCACCTTAAGATATATAAATAAATTGCTAAAACAATTTTTTGAATAATTTTACGCAGAATTATAACTACTGAATTTAAAAAGCTAATTTATATTGGTTAAATATTTGGCTTGAAATATTCAACTTAAAACAACAGGTTTAATGCAATGTTTTTTTGCGTCCCGTAAATAACACAGGATATAATCAACTATAATTCCTAAACTTAAAATAATGGAACGAAATTTCAATATACAGGAAATAAATGATTTTGGGATGATTCATAAATATATAAACATCTATTCTGTTAAAATAAAAAACATATATTTAAAAATGTGATATCACAAAAATCAAAGTGTCCCGTAAGTAACGGTGGAATTTCCCATATACCGATGCCTAAGTTACGTATTTTAAACTGTAAACGGTGTATTGATACAACCTATAAGTTGTCTAATATTTTTAAACTATAAGGTTTCTTTTAAAAAAAAAATTAAAAAAAAAAATACCTAAACAAAAAAGTTACAGTTAGATCAAGACATATAAAATCTTAGCTTAAATTGTTTTCTTTATTTTATGATATCAAGAAATTGACAAATTTATTGTTATTATAAAATACTTTGACATCCCGTCATTTTGTTGCGCAAGCAAAAATTGCTAACATAAGTTTTGCGCGTACTTTTTTTTTAATTTCTTTGTCGGGAAAATCTTGAATATAAAAGAAATTCTTTGTCATATCGACTCCCATTTATTAATCAAACAGTTAAGAGAATATAAATTAAAAAAAGCTAACAAATGTATATAGGTAATATTAAATTAAGTTGCGTTTATAGAACTCATAAAAAAAACATCTTAGTTTGTAAATATATGTTTACAATTACTTATACTAAATTTTTATTAAAAACAATTATTAAAAAAATAAATATTGTGAACATAAATATTGTGGTAACTCATATATGTGTATTTACGTTGTATATATATATATATATATATATATATATATATATATATATATATATATATATATATATATATATATATATATATATGCATATTTTTATCTAGGTATCAGCATTATGGCAATGATGAAAAAATCTATATCGGTATGATAAAAACTTTTTGCTGATTGAAAATAATTTTTTTTTAAATTCATATGAAAATTGTGAGAAATATACTTATAAAATTTTATATGTTGAAAAAATCTTAAAAAGAATCATTAAAAACGTTTTTATGAGACCTATTCAATATTTTGAATAACTTTTAAACAAAGTATTTAAAATTTGAATTTTAAAAGCTAAAGTTTCACCTTCGTGCTTTTAAAACACTTTAATAATGCTTGATAAAAGTGGTACACCATGATTTTATTAAGTTAACTAAAAAAAATTGAAAATGTTAATATGGGGTATTTTTTATAAATTATTATTAGTCTTTAAAATATACTCAGGGAAGATTTTATGGGGAAGGGTGTGTGACACCCTTCCTAAAGAAGACAATTTTTAAATTATAGTCGGTTTTTAAAGAAATATAATAGGCAAGTTGCTATTTCGCGAGGTTAGAGCTATTTTGTTTTATCTCCGCATTTTAGAGTTTTGAGATCTATTGAAAAGAAAACTATTTTTGTTTTGAGAACTATTTAAAAAATAAAAACTTGAGAAGACCGCATTAAAAAAGATTTTTATAACTTATGTTTTCACTGCAACGTTTTTGATTATAACTTTAGTTTCAATATAGTTGAAAAACGTTATTTTGAGATACATAACACAATCAATAAATCGAATTTTTCAAAAAGTGTAGATAAACAAAATGATTCTAACCTCGCGATTTAACACATTTCAGTAGGAAAATTTTAATTTTGAGGACTTTTTTTATATATATAAAAAAGTTCATTTTTTTTTCCTAGAACCGCTCCTGCATATACTTATGCTAAAACTTATAAAAGTTACGAAGTTTGTGTCATGACGTCAATGCGTAAATACTTTAGAAGTAAAAAATAAATGAAAAAAAAAACTCAGTACTGTTAAACTCTAAGCAATTTTATTCATATTTGTTTAAAACTCAGATATACATTAGATATTTGACTGTGACTTGCACAGTCAAGGTCTTCCTTACAAATGATATGTTACCTTATAGAACTTTTAAAACTGACAACATGTCTTTTTTATCCAAGGCGGTGATAAAGTATTTTTTGCTTCTATTTAGAATAATAGATCAACAAAGTTAAAGTTGAAAACAGTCTAACAATTTTGCTTTTTATTTCAAAGTTTGGGTTTCAAGGAGTTTAAGGAGTTAGGATAGATATGAAGTAGATTTGATTTTTCTTAAATTTGCAATCGATAAAATCTTGTAAACTGTTCTTTTACGGATTTACGAAACGTATAAAGGTGTTCTACGACAAACACTTTGTGCTTTCTAGATTTTAACGCTTTCAAATAAAAAAATTAACACATTAATTAATTACTAAGAGTTAAAGATGTAATAGGAAAAGTTTGGTAAAAGTGATTAGAATAATTAACATACTTGTTCAACGGAATTAATCTTGTAATATTTTATCTTTATGATGAATTTATAGTTGTATTATAATGCAAATAAGATACAATAATGTTAACAAATTAATCTATTGATTAAAGTACAATGCTTTTAATGCAATGTTTTTAATCCTTTCCTAAACAACGTAGAAATGTAGATACGTGGTAATACAGTTTACTTAACGATATGTGTATGATTAACAATATACAGTCATATTTATATCTTATCAATGCTATTTGTTCATAAAACGTTGAGAAAAACCAATTATGTAGTTTCAGCATTTTCAAACACGCATCTACAATCAGATAAATTATCTCATTTATAATTAATGCAACTTGCTATTACCCTAAAATATAATAATTTTGTGTTAATTCTAAATTTAGAAAGCAAATCTTATTTTTAAATTTTATTTCATTCATTTAAGTTTTTAATCGAGAAAAAATGTTTAACGAAATATTAAAAGCATAATAAAAATAATGATAATAATAAAACCAAAAAGCAGAAAGAATTAGAAAATAAGAAAAAGTAATATTTTATGAAAACATTTAAACTATTTCATAGCATTTAATTTAAAGTATGCAAATAATTTTTTATTTGTTGTTAAATTTACTCGTTTAACATTTTTGTTTGCAAAAAAAAAAAAAAACGTGTCCGTTTGTGTTTCGATTAAATTTATATCTTAATCAATTTCATTAAAAAAGAATTATTTTATTATTATAACAATAATTAAAAACTTTTTCTTTAGCATTTTTAATTTTAATTTTTTATTTAATTTATATCTATCTTCAAGACTAAAACGTTGTTTAGCCCATATTGGAAATACTGAAAATAACAAAAACATTTAGACATTGTAGGGTATTTTCTAAATTCATGAAATGAATTTACTTCCGATTTTTTAATTATAATGTGACAAACTTATGACTTGATAAACCATATGCGATAAACTTATGACTTGACTTTATTTTAACTTTGGTAAAATGTTTTATTAAGTACTTTTCTTATTCATCATTGTTCAGTGTCTGTTCAGTGTTTTATAAATGTGTACAACAAAGAAAGAAATTTTAAATTTAGTTTGTAATTATTTTTAAAGCAAGTTAAGATTGACTATTTGTTGAATAAAAGAAATTATTATGTATTCAAATGTTTAACTAATTAAGAAATAGTTATTATAATTGAAAAAAATATATTTGAAATATTGTAATTTTGTATAAAAAAATCCTTCAATGACTTTAGTGTAAGGGGTCGTCCATAAAGTACGTACGCTTTTTTTTTACTAACCCTCCCCCTCCCCCCCCGCAATTTGCCGTACACTTTTTTGAGTACTCTCTACCTCCCTAAAAGTACCTACGCTTTGAACCTACTAACCCAACATTTTATGATATTTTTTTAATTTAGTGTTTCCGTACTTTTACAATTGGCCTACTGCCCCCTTATCTCAGTAACGCCATTTGCAGACCTCCTCTTTCTCTCCGAGCGTACGTACTTTATAGACGATCCCTAATGCATTTAGTGCAAAAAACAAAAAAACAAAAAAAAAAAATTAATAAATTGTATCAAATTCCCAAACCCACCTTATTCCCAAACCCAAACCCACCCAATTTTCTAACCACTGCGCCATGGCCGTGTGCGGCCCTGGCGCAGTGGTTAGAAAATTGCTTTATAAGCAAATTTCTTTATAAGCCCTTGCTTTATAAGCAGTAGATCCAGGTTCGAAATGAGCTCTGGACATATTTTCGCGTAACGGTAAGAAAGCTGGCGTGACTTTCCTGGTTAAATGCACTTCCGCGGTACTCTGTGACAAGACCGTTACGTCTTTTTGGGACACCTAAATAAAAAATAAAAAAAAAAAAAAACGATTCGTTGACACAATTTATATACATACTTTTAATCCATTTTTTATAGAAATCATAAATGGAGCTGAGATATGTGTTTACCAGCAGCCATATATTAAGATGCATGTATTCAAACGGATATTCAGTTCCTGTAGAAGTTGTTGACATGGTTGATGTTTTAGAAAATTTCAAGAGTAATCTTAAAATGCAAGGAACGTCATGTAATCTTGCATTGGTAAGCACAATTAATTGAATATTACGATTATTAAATTTGAAAATATAATGACCAAATATTTTTTGATTATTTTATGACTTTAATTTTCAGAATCTTGGCATAAAGAAAAAGCCCTTTTTAAATAGCCCTACAACTATAAACAGCTCATTGGTAAATCTATTTTCGACAAAAAAATCAATGCGTCACGATCAAACAGACTTTTTTATTTCAAAAATATCATCAACTATGCAGTTAAGATGGTATAAACAACCAATTGATGACGAAGAAGTTCTAGAAAAGATAGAAGCGGGAAATATTAACCATTCAAACGATCCAATAAAAATAGATGATAAGACACTAGACTTTATTTACATCAGCACCTTTTATAGATATGAAGAAGTAGAGTATTTTTTACGTCAACTTAAACGCACAAAGTTAACGTACGCCGTTGAAATAGATGTCGGAGTTGGAAATCAGATACTGATAACATATCAGCAACTTTTTGATTTCGATCATAGTTATATGATTTTAAAATGTTATAAAAAAGAAGGACTGGCTTTTATAAAACCATTTTGAGGTTTTACCTAATTGCTGTTGTATTTATATTTGTTTGTTTTAATTTTTATATATATTTAATTTATAAATCTTTAATACTAATTTGGGAGCTGTGTGAAGTATAGTGACGTAGCGATTTTTTAAAAGAATTATTAACACTTTTACGCCATGTTTAAAATTTAGAAACGTTGTATTTTAACAGCGTTGTTTCAATAATTTATGATAAATTTAACTTTAAATTTAAACTGTTATTATTGTTTATTTTAGGAAAATAGAACTCACAGGATATTATTTTAAGTCCACCGCTAAAAAATACAAATACACACGTTTAATGTGACACTTTTAATATAAACCGTTAAATCGGGTTAATAAATAAAAACCGTTAAATAGGGAAAATAACTTTGAACAAGTTAAAACACTTTTTAATAATTATTTAATAGTTTAATGACCTTTAAGCATTAGGAGGTTGTTGCGGGTTATGTTCTTGGACACAACTACCTTTCGTAGGTTGTGTAACCTTTGTATGTTGTTTATGCATACGTTTTGTACGTGTTGACGATGTCGTTTATATACATGTGCACTAATGCCCCCGTTAATTACTAACATAGTTAATGCTGCACGTAGTTGAGCTAAAATGTATTTACTTAAGACTTATGAATTAATTTCTGATTCATTACTAATTTTTAAACTATTTTAACTCTGTAGACTATATAACTAACACAACTGCTTTTTTTTTTTTAAATTAATAAATAAATTTTTTTTTTGGAAATAAATATTTTATTAAAAAAAAATTCAATCAATTTTTTTTGAAACAAAATTTTCTTTTTTCTTATTTCAAAGAGTGTTTAAAAACATTTTTTATTTCTGTGCTTTACATGGAGGCTTTTACAAAGATTTTTCTAATTTATTCAATAATAAACTGCAAGAAGTGGGTTAAATTCGGTCAAAACTGTAACCAAGGTGCAGTAGCTCTATGTAGCCGTCGCGCAGTGGTTAGATTTCTTTAACAACAACATTGGTAAGAAAGAAGGCGTGAACTTCTTAGTTCAATGCTCTTCCGTGGTGCTCTGTGATAAGCTTGTAAGGACTTCTAGGTACAACTTTCTCATTAAAAAAAAAATTAATTAACTAAATTAACTAAAAATTAATAACTAAAAATTAATAACTAAAAATTAATAACTAAAAATTAATAACTAAAAGTTAATAACTAAAAATTAATAACTAAAAATTAATAACTAAAAATTAATAACTAAAAATTAATAACTAAAAATTAATAACTAAAAATTAATAACTAAAAATTAATAACTAAAAATTAATAACTAAAAATTAATAACTAAAAATTAATAACTAAAAATTAATAACTAAAAATTAATAACTTAAAAATTAATAACTAAAAATTAATAACTAAAAATTAATAACTAAAAATTAATAACTAAAAATTAATAACTAAAAATTAATAACTAAAAATTAATAACTAAAAATTAATAACTAAAAATTAATAACTAAAAATTAATAACTAAAAATTAATAACTAAAAATTAATAACTAAAAATTAATAACTAAAAATTAATAACTTAAAAATTAATAACTAAAAATTAATAACTAAAAATTAATAACTAAAAATTAATAACTAAAAATTAATAACTAAAAATTAATAACTAAAAATTAATAACTAAAAATTAATAACTAAAAATTAATAACTAAAAATTAACTACGCCCCGACGTGCTTTCATCACTAGGCCCCGACGTGCTTTCATCAGCAAGCGCGTACAAAAATTAAAAGCTAAACATACAATTACTTTCTACCATTTAAAAATTATATACAAATATTTACAAGTATGTTAAGATCAGTTATTAATCTATGATCAAAAGAAAATCGTAAAAAGAAAAGAAAAAATAAACACATCTAAAAACTAAAGATAAGTTAATAGGAAATTAGAGGACAAGTTAATAAGATAGTTGTTAAAAAAGAAAAAAAAAATTAAAAAGAAAAAAAAGAAAAAAAAAAAAAAGAATTTTAAAAAGAATTTAATTCATTAACATCCTTAAGAAGTTTTTGTTTGAGTTTTTGTTTGAATAGAGAAAGTGAAGAACAATTTTTCAGCTGGTTATATAACAAAGTGTTCCATAATTTAGGTCTTCTGATAACAATAAAAAATTAAGTAACTAATTAGTACCTAAAGGCTGCTCATAAATGTAATTTGAAAATCTTGCAGGGTACACCTGATTAATTTTATTGAAAAGTGTATTAAATGTTATAGGAGTTACTTTATTATGAAGCTTGTACATAATTATAAGAATTTGATGTAGGTTTCACTGAAAAACATTGAGTATGCGATAATTTTTAAATAGTTCTTTAGACAGCATTTTTTTGTCTACTAAGCAATTTTTAACTTTACTTAGAGCTGCAACTTTACAATAGAGCTGCACCATGCATTATTTGCATAGTTTACATAACAGTGTATGAGGGAGAAATATAATATTTTTAAGCAGTTTTGGCTTAATAATTGCTTAGCTTTGTATTGTATGTCAATATTTTTCGAAATTTTGTCTTCTATTGTTCTTATGTGTTCTCTCAATGTCAAGTTTTTGTCAAGTATCACTCCTAAAAACTTTACTTTACATAGACAACTTACTTTACTTTTAAACTGGGGACTATGAAGAGGAGGGACTCAAGCAATATGTCTCTTAATAATAAAACTTTTTAACTTTCTGTTGTATTACCTACATATTATGCATAGAGCGATATTGCATGCTTTTAAAAGTTTCATAAACTTACCTTTAAGTGTCAAATATCCTGTATTCGTAGTATTGCTAAAGTTATAACTCTTTTTAAATAAAAAAGTAAAAAACATTAAACATAGGTTCAAACGTTTATATGGAAGATCAAATTATCTATGGCCTCATGCATGGGTACGTTGTAGAAGGGATGCTCATTGCTTAAATATTATAAATATAATAACGTAAACCAAATAGTGTTTAGAACACTAATAGCATCAATTTCTATTTTTTCACGTAACCTCTCATAATGAAATGTATAAAACATGAGGTTTTTGAGCCAGTTTATTATTCAAAAGTATTTCTCATGATATGAAGTAAAATATGGCTTTCAAATATAATATTTTCAAAGGCCTACATGATGTGGAAAGTTAAAGAAAATAAGAAACGGCAAACAAGATTTATTTTGTAAAACAAGTCTTGAATAGTATGAAACTTTTATAAAACATTATAGGAAACTTAAGATTTCCGAAGTAACAGTAGATGCAGAGCCAACAGAAAAAGAACTGTTTACAGTAGTGAGAAAACCAGCAAGAGATGTGCTGGTAAAAGTACAGTCAAAACCGCTTAAAGTTAACGTAGTGTCTAATAAATTTAGTTGAAGCGGTAGTTGCATGGCTAGCAAGAGATGTATTCTTATCAGTAGAAACAGTGTTAAGAAAAGTTGAGAAGACATACCACCAAAGTAATTTATAATAATTTTAGTTTTCAAGACAAGTAAACCATAAAAAACACTTGAATGTAATGTTACCAGAGCTGGAGATCGCTACCAAATATTTGAAAGCGCTACTTCAAATATTTGGCACCTTCCGCATCTTTGAGAACCATAAACCGCCACCGCTCTTCTGCTACAATACTTTTCAATATTTTATTAAACTTTATAATTAGTAGCGCTAGTCCGCAACTAGTTTGCAACTAGTCCGCAACCTAAAAAAATATTTTATTCTTAAAAAAGTAAAAAAAAAACAAAAACTCTCTGTTCCCTTCTCCCACGTTGAGTTTTTGATATCCACATGGGATGATATAAAGTCACGCTTTTTTAAAATTGTTTCTACACTTTTTTAAGTGTTTTACATTAAATTTTAATTTAATTAATATTGCTAATCCTTTATGAGTAAATTGTAACTTACATTAATATTACTAGCATTCTTTTGGTGAGTCTAGTTGGATTCTGGCGCAAAATCATGCATCTTTTTACATTATCTGTTGAACCGTACATTTTGTTATATTCATAGATGATATAGCGGACAACTGGATGCTTGTAATAGTGATGCGCAAAAAAATGGAAACACCGTTAAAAAATTTAGATCTTATGCAATAAAATATATATAATATGCATTTGCTTCAAATTATGCGAATACAAACGTTTTTAGAACAAGTCAGAAAAACAGGAAATACAAATTAATTTAAAATAAAATCGTTTTTCAAAAACACGAGTTCAATAAAATGGTTACAGCAAGTTCTACTTATTTATAGAAACGAGATTTTTCTACAAATATTTACGAAACGAATTTTTAATAAATTTTTTCAAATTATTTATAAATATATTTGACTAAAGGTGTAACTAAAGCTAAAAGTATGGGGGGGTGGGGGGGGTGGAACGCTATAGCCTCGTCAAACCCCCCATTTGTCTACGGCCATGCTTTACATTCAAAAAAATCTATTTCATTCAGCCATCACTCCTATTTTTGCATGTAAACTTTGTGGAAATCATATAGTATTTTTTGTAAACTTATTGATTTCTTTAACACCGGAATTTTGACAGGTTTCAGTTTCAACATTTTGGTATTCTCCTTTTTTTTTAGATCATCTTTATACTTGTATTGCATAATACAAGATTCTTTTTTTTTTTTTTTTATTTGTTAATTTTTTAGGTGCCCCAAGAAGTCCTTGCGTTCTTATCACAGAGCACCGCGGATAAGCATAGGAAATAATAGGAAGTTCACGCCTCCTTATCAACCGATGTCGCAAACTTGCCCAGAGGTAGGGTTTGAACCAGGGATCTTAAGTTTCTGAGGCAAGTGCGCTACCACTGCGCCACGGCTGCTCTTTTTTTTTTTAAATCATTTTTAAATTGCATTGTGTCATTTTACTTGTTACTGTTATTTGGATTTAAAAGATTGATTCATCTTTTTGGAATGACTGACAAATGTTTGAGGTTCAGTTAAACATTCAAAAATGTGCATATACTTTTGAAGCTCCGGGTTAAAATGTTTTTAAGGAGACTAGGTCTCGCGAAACTTAGTCTCCTTAAAAATATTTTGGCTCGGAGGAAGTAGAAGCGTGCCGTATTGCATATATTCCGCATAAAT